GGTGTATGTGGCCAGTGCCCTACTCACTGAGCTACAGGCATCAAGCTGGTTTATTTATTTTTAACATTTATTTATTTTGAGTAAGAGTCTGGCTCTGGGGCTAGAATGCAGTGGCGTTATCATAGCTCACTGCAGCCTCAAACTCTTGGGCTCAAGAGATCCTTCTATCCCAGTCTCCCAAGTAACTGGGACTACAGGTGTGTACTACCACGCTGGAATAATTTATTTTTAGTAAAGACGAGGTCTTGCTACGTTGCCCAGGCTGGTCTCAAACTCTTGGCCTTAAGTGATCCTCCCACTTCTGCCTTCCAAAGTGCTGGGATTACAGGCGTGAGCACTTCTGCCTAGCTTCCTAATGCTTTTTTTTTTTTTTTTGAGACAGAGTGTCAGTGTGTCACCCTGGGTAGAGTGTTGTGGCATCACAGCTCACAGCAACCTCAAACTCTTGGGCTTAAGCGATTCTCTTGCCTCAGCCTCCTAAGTAGCTGGGAATACAGGCGCCCGCCACAATGCCCAGCTATTTTTTGTTGCAGTTGTCATTGTTGCTTAGCAGGCCCTGGGCTGAGTTTGAACCTGCCACCCTCAGTGTATGTGGCTGGCACTCACCCTACCTACTGGTCTATGGGTACCATGCTCTTTTTTTTTTTTTTTTTTTAGACAGAGTCTCACTATGTCGCCCTTGGTCACAGCTCACGGTGCCCTTCAACTCCTGGGCTCAAGTGATCCTCTTGTCTCAGTCTCCCAAGTAGCTGGAACTATAGGTGCCTGCCACAATGCCTGGCTAGTTTTTAGAGATAGGATCTCGCTCTTGCTTAGGCTGGTCCTGAACTCCTGACTTCCAGCAATCCACCATCTCAGCGTCCCGGAGTATTAGGATTACAGATGTGAGCCACTGCCCCTGGCATCCTTTGATTGCAACAAATCAAGTCCTAGGTCAGCCACATACTTGACTTGTAGTCTGTGCCTGAGCCAGGTTTCCTTATCCTTGGAGTGTGGGCCACCCTGCCTGCCAGGGGGACTGGGCATATTCAAGCTGATGGTGGTACAAGCCCTATAAGGAACCCTAAGGGGAAGGCAGAAATGCAACAATTATCAAGTGAACACTTCTCCAGGTTATATTTTTGCATTTTTTAATTTATTTGTTTATTTATTTTTTAGAAACAGAGTCTGACTTTGTTGCCCTCAGTAGAGTTCCATGGTGTCACAGCTCACAGCGACCTCCAGCTCTTGGGCTTAGGCGATTCTCTTGCCTCAGCCTCCCAAGTAGCTGGGACTACAGGCGCCCGCCACAGCTCCCAGCTATTTTTTTTGTTGCAGTTTGGCTGGGGCAGGGTTCGAACCCAGGACCCCTTGGTATGTGGGGCTGGCGCCCTACTTACCAAGCCACAGGTATTGTCCTATCAGCATGTTTTTTTAAGCAGGAACTCAGATAGGGACATCTTTTGGTGTATGTAGCTAACTTCCTGCATAAGTTGGCTGCAGCATTGTAAAACACAGCCATTATGGGGTCTCAGCTTTCCTGGGGAAACGGCAGCCATTGAAAATACTGGTTTTCCAGTATTAATTTATATGCTCAAATTGAGTCTTGTACTTTGGCTTCTTCTGTTTAATAAAATGCATCATCACTTAATTATAGATAGGCATTTCTCCAGACAAACATGGACATGAGGCTGTGCTGTGGCTCTGTCACACTTGGCTGCTTCTGCATGATCCAGAGTAGGGTAGGGTATGATTCCAGGGCCATCTGGCCTGAGTGTTTGTCTGGCTACATCACTCACTGGCTGTGTCACCCTTTGCAACCTCGGTTTCCCCACTTGTCAATTGGGAGTAGAAGTATAACTTGCCCTGTGGTGTTGGGAAAGACTAAGTGAGGTGCTGGATATAAAACAGCAGATGTTCAGTAAATATGATCCACTACTTACTAGGACAAGGGATCATAGCTACTTTCTAAAAGTTTTAAAATGAAAATGAATTTGCTTAAAAATGTCATTTTGAAACAAACAAGGCTGGCAATCATTGTTTTGTGTGAGAACACATACTTTGCCAGTAGAGTAGAAATTTGGCAGGAGACAGCTAAGCATAAAGACTTAGGGGAGGCTGGGCAAGGTGGCTCACGCCTGTAATCCTAGCACTCTGAGGCTGAGGCCGGTGGTTTGCCTGAGCTCACAGGTTTGAGACGAGCCTGAGCCAGAGCAAGATCTTATCTCTAAAAATAGCTGGACGTTGTGGCAGTGCCCTCTAGTCCCAGCTACTTAGGAGGCTGAGGCAAGAGAATAGGTTGAGCCCAAGAGTTTAAGGTTGCTGTGAGCTGTGATGCCTGGGAACTCTAACAAAGCGAAACTCTGTCTCAAAAAGAAAAAAAAAAAAAAGACTTCGGGGAATCCTGCCCTGCCTTTGGCCAAATGTGGGGATTAGAGCTGGGTGAAATCTCCTCAGTTTCCTTACAAACTGGTGTCGCTGTGTTTTCTCCCACATTAAAATCACATAGGCTCCCAGGGGTTGTGGTTTTTTTTTTTTTTTTTCAGTTTTTGTCCGGGGCTGGGTTTGAACCTACCACCTCCAGCACGTGGGGCCAGCGCCCTACTCCTTTGAGCTACAGGCACCGCCTGGTCGTGGGGTTTTAAAAGCCTTTACAATGGAAGAATATGAAATTTTTCACTTCCATGCAACCCCTCTTCCTATCGTCCCACTTGTAAATTGTTTCTGGAGGATAAAGTGAAAAGGATGCAGGAGTATTTTAAGACAGGAAGAACAACTGAAAGAACAAACTGAAAGCTACCTTGAACGTCATTGGTAACTTATATATGACAGAGGCAAAAAGGGCGCCTTCTCTGTACCCTGGGCTGGTGTAGGAGAATGCCATTCTGGGGTCAGCACCACTAAACTTCCTTCCACTCCTGCAGTCTCTTCCACTGCAAGCCTCACCCCTGGTCTGTCCCATTTCTGCCTTTGTCTCAGGCTTGTATCTGGGCTCACTTTGGGGTTCAAGGAGTGGGCAGCTCTGGTAGCTGCTTACATATGCAGAGTGCTTTCCCCAGCAACTTTGAGGCTTCTTTTTTTTTTTTTTTTTTTTTTTTTGAGAGACAGAGCCTCAAGCTGTCCCACTAGGTAGGGTGCCATGGCATCGCAGCTCACAACAACCTCCAACTCCTGGGCTCAAGCGAGTCTCCTGCCTCAGCCTCTCAAGTAGCTGGGACCACAGGCGCCTGCCACAAGGCCCGACTATTTTTTTGGGTTGCAGCTGTCATTTGTTGTTTGGCGGGCCCAGGCTGGATTCAAACCTGCCACCTTAGGTGTATGTGGCTGACGCCTCAGCCACTTGAGCCACAGGTACTGAGCCGAGGCTTCTTTTTGAGAGCCCCAGGGTTTCGGCATAGGGGTGGACAACATATCCCCTGGTTGGTGGCTATGTGGCATTAGCAGTGTGCATCTTTAGCTCTGTCATGGTGACACATTAGGGCAACTTGTAGACATCCCCAGAAAGAAGCAGTGGGGTAAGAGGAAGTGACAATTAGGGTCTGGTGTTTTCCTTTCTTTCTTCCGCTTTTTGCTTTTCTGTACCTAAAATACATGTAATTAAATCAGAACCTCTAACTGCTGTCATTTTCTCAGGTTACCTAAGTGGATTCCTGTAGTTAAAGAGGAATGCTTGAACCAAGCGCGGTGGTTTCCATTAGCTGTAGGTCTTTGAGTTTGATAACTAGCCATCAAATATTCTTTTATTTTTTTCTCTTAAAGATAGGGTCTTGCTATGTTGCACAGACTGGCCTCAAACTCCTGGGCTTAGTTGACCTTCCTGCTCAGTCTGTCTAGTAGCTGGGGTTACAGGTGCATGCCACTGTGCTCTGCCCACTGAATGTTCATGTATCACTCAGGCTAGAGTACAATGGTGTAATCATAGCTCACTGAAGTCTCAAACTCCTGGGTTTAAGCAGTCCTCCTGCCTCAGCCTTCTGAGTAGCTGGGACTACAGGTGTGCCACTGTGCCTGACTAATTTTTTGATTTTTTGTAGACACAGGGGTGTCACTGTGTTGCCCAGGCTGGTCTCGAATTCCTGGCCTCAAGTGATCTTCCTGCCTCAGCCTTCCAAAGTTCTGGGATTATAGGCATGAGCCACTACACCTGGCACACTGTACTTATCTTTTATTTCACTTAGCATAATGTTCTTAAGGTTCATCCATGTTGTAGTATGCAATAGCATTTTCTTCTTTTATAAGGTGGAATAATATTCCACTGTATTCCAAAATACACCACATTTTGTTTATCTATTCTTTTTTTTTTTTTGACAGACTTTCACTATGTTGCCCTCAGTAGGGCATCACAGCTCACAGTAACCTCAAACTCTTGGGCTTAATCGATTCTCTTGCCTCAGCCTCCCAAGTAGCTGGGACTACAGGCGCCCACCACAACGCCTGGCTATTTTTTTGTTGCACTTGTCATTGTTGTTTTAGCTGGCCCGGGCCAGGTTTGAACCTGCCGGCCTCGGTGTATATGGCCAGCACCCTACCCATTGAGCTACAGGTGCTGCCAAGAGTTCCAATTTCAAAGTGATGTGTTTTTATCTTGCATTTATTTGATGATTAATGACATTGAGTACTGTTTCACATGTTTCATGTTCATTTAGATTTCGATTTTATAAGGTGTCTGTTCTGGTCTTTTGTCAATTTTCCTAATAGTGTGTCTGGAAGAATTCTTTATCCATTCTAGATATAAAGTCTTTATTGGTTATATGTGTTCCGTATATCTTCTACTCTGGTTTCCTGACTTGAGATTACCAGGTTTTCCACTGGCTCTGGCAGGGAGGGCCCAGAAGGCAGGGTGGTCACACAGGACTCCCATCCCCATCTGTACTCTCCTCTCTTGGGCAGTGGGGCTACGGCAGCAGCAGTGCCTGGTGCTGATTCTGCTTCTTTCATTGTGGTTTTGTGGCTGTGGAAGTGGCTATGGTGGGATTTTGAGTATGTCCACTTTTGACCAGTATCTGTGATTTTGTTTGTAGATTCCCACTGGAAATCCATTATACGAATCATATTACAAGCAGGTAAGTTTAACTGATGTCTTTTTAGACGGAACCAGAGAGTGATTAAATTGGATAGCACAGAACTCAATTGAAGCAGAAGCAGCCTCTTGTCTGTTTCTGTTGTTTAAATCATCGGGGAACAGTCAGTGTGGTGGTGCTGCTTTACCAGCTGCTACACAGTTACCTCAACTTTCCCATTTCAGGTCGATCCAGCATATACAGGGAGAGTCGGGGCAAGTGAAGCTGCACTTTTTCTAAAGAAGTCTGGCCTCTCAGACATTATCCTTGGGAAGGTACGTGAAGACTAAGAGTGATTTCCCTTCAGTGACCACACTCACATCTTCCCCAGGCAGGTCAAGGTTTGCAGACCCCTGCCTCTGTGGGACTGAGCCACTTAGCCTGTCACAGATGGATCCAAATGGCTGGGCAGCAGCTGCCACCTCTGGTGGGTAGCAGATAAGATATACAAGTGCTTTTGGGGTTGTGATAGTGTGCAGATTTATGTATGGGGCATAAGGATGTGATAAACTCCACTTGGCTTTGGAGCTGAGTACACCTGGAAACTGTGTGCCTGTGGGAAGCTCATTCACTTGCTCTAAGTGGACTTCTACATCTGCATTCTGGGACAGACACTCCCGCCTTGCAAGGCCACTTGTCTGCAAAGCCCACAGTAGATGTGGTGGCCGCTCCTGCTTTTGTTAACACACGGGCAGTGATTAGAAGTCATGCTCATGAGCATTTTTGTGTTTCCACAGATATGGGACTTGGCTGACCCAGAAGGTAAAGGGTTCTTGGACAAACAGGTATATGCACGTGTACACAGAGCGGGTGGAGGGGGCCTGGTCAGAGCCCCGTGGCTGGGTGATGTCCACACTTCCTTCCACGTTTCTCACTGTCAAGTATTACTAGGCATGAGCACGACTCTCAAACTTAAAATGGGCACTTTCATGTTGAAATAAAGGCCTTTCAAATACTTGGAGCCATCTTTCTTGGTCAGTGTATCTTTTGACATTTTGTGGCCTTATATGTGACTGAAGTACTGTCAAAACTTGACATAATAAAATAGTTTCAGACTTTCATGGAAGTTGCAAAAATAGTTTGGAGCATTCCTGGGTATTTTTTGCCAGCTGTTCCTGGCATCTTACATAGCCACAGCACTGTGATTATAGCCAGGAAATGGACATTAGTATAACACTAAACTAAAGGCTTTTTTTTTTTTTTTTTTTTT